CTGTGTGATAAGAAACAAGACCCAAATCAACTAAAATTTATAATTACAAATAGAAAACACCTGCAAAGGGTTCCTGAGCCTTTAAATAGTCTCTCTGTCTAGTTGAACTACTGAAATAAATTTGACTTTGCACCAGATTCTGATTTTTTCAGTTTCACTTGTTTGTATAATTGGGAGTTTTTATTAGCATTTCTACACATAATGTAGTAAAAACACATATAAATAATAATCCTTCAAAATGACAGTAGAACTGGCACAAATATGATCTAGGACTTAAATTTACTAACTTTTAACACCAGAGCAGGCATGACATATTCTGAGAATGATTAGCAACACTAACTGGTTCCAGTTGGATGACTGGAGGAAGATGGGAAGATAAAAGATCATGGCGAGGAAATAATGATCTGACGAACAGGTGAGCGGACCTTCCTTAAATGAGAAGTCCTGCTGTCACGTTAAGGAGGGGATGCTGCAGACCCGCAGATTCACGCCTGCAGCAGCGAATCTGGTGTGATCTCCAGCCTGATCACAACTTTCTCGTTCCTCGCTGCCCCTGATGCACTTAAGCATCCGCCCCTTAGCTGATGACAGCGTCAACACACCTCGCTGCTTAACGATAGTAATGCATGTGATGTTTAGACAGAGACTCGTCTCAGAAACATAGAATTCCCCGACAGAATTGTTTAGAAAATCATCAGAAAAGTTTCAGAGTGTTTCTGTTTTAACTTAAACTTCTGTTTTCAACTTTAAGACACGTTGTTTGTGATTGTTTACATAGTAGTGAGAACACGGAGCGTTCTCCCAGCGGCAGCCAGGTGCCTCTAGTTTGTCTGACTACTTTCATAAACTACTGTTAGGGGAAAGAGTTATTCTGTCTGGTGCTTTCAGCGCTGCACAGATGTTACGTAAATGTTAAAAATATAGCTTACCGTAACTTTTGTAAAGTTTCCGGTGCCACCGGGCAGCTGCAGCAGTATCGATCTCTGAAAAATGTCCGCGACACGGACCCCGTTGTTGTCTGGAAGTTTTTTTTCCAAGTTAAGAAAAAAGGCGGACGTGTTTCCTAATTACTGCATCAGTCCAAGCAAGGCAACTTCTTTCTGTTTTTATTCCGTTTTAGTAGCCATTAGCACTGTGCATTGTTGTGTGCGTCATTGATATTCGGTCTACGAGGAAGTCGTGCAATGACGAAGGTTCCGCCGTGCTCGAAATGCAAGCTGCGATTAAATGCGTGAATTTGTTTTAAGGCATCATTTTTTTCTAATTAATTAATCATAATTAACACATTAAAGTCCTGGCCCTACTTAAAACATAAAACATGCCGTTGTTCACAGCTGAAAACAGATGCAGCCAGATGTACTTAAAACATCTGTGTGAGAGAAAACCATGTATATGGGCATAAACAGAATCCAGGTGATTATCAGTTTGACAAGACGCCACATTAACTCAATTTTTTCATTCTAGTTAAAATAATATTCATGTAACACAAACTCAGCATCATGTCATCTAAGAGCATCTAAACATGGAGTCTCTTTCAGTAGAACAATTCTGCTGAATCTTTTGGCCATATTAAAGTCTATTCTTGGTTTAGAAGCAATATTATCTTTCTGAATGGCCTCTGTTCAGAGAAATAGAAATAGAGTTCCCTCTGGACTGAGGAGCTAACGGCTAGATTCAGTCAGCGGCTCATCTAAACATGATCGTAAACATTTACCATTCGTCACATTTTGTTATTTTCATATAAATTTTAAAATCCTGCCAGACTTTAAACTAGGAGGTGGTAATATTTTTATGATTTTTCACTCCAGTTGGCTGTTAGCTCATCAGCCTTGCAGAGTGGGATCCCTATTTCTACAAACAGAGGCCATTCTGGAATCCTTCAAAGCCCAATAGGGGATTTATTTAATTTTCACACAGAAGTACGCCAGTTAAAGCAACGCTAAATATATTTTCTGCTTCTCCCTCCTACTGGTTGAAAGCGGCTTTACAACTTTTGACTAACAATACTGCTGCAGCCTGCTAAAGCTAGCGCTAACAATGAGCTAACGCTAACACAAGCCAACTGATACTAAATAAGCCACAAAGTGAAAAGATACACACTTTTGGACAAAAAAATTGAAGTTCAAGTTACAAGTCCAGAAGCAACAAAGCCAGGTCACCATCAGTTTGTGATTTCATAGTCTCCTTCAGCTCCCTCCACTGAAACTAGTTTGAGTTAAACACTCTACAGTGTTTTTAAAAGTTTGTTTTTACCTTTAACGTCTTTGTTTGGGATTTAGTTTTACATTAATATTTGCAGTTTTTATTCCTTTTTGTTAATTTGCTTATTGTCAAACCCTTATTGAGTTGCGGCAGGTGGCTGCTCATACTGAATCATGTTCTGCTGGAGGTTTTTTCCTGTTTAAGTGGAGTTTTCTTCTCCACTGTTGCTACATGCTTGCATAGTTTGGGGACTGCTATAAAGTAACTGGCACAAGTTAGTGATTCCATGCACCGATGAGTAGGTTCAATCGGAATATTTACTTTGCAAAGCAACTTAAAATTACTCGTGATTTGGCTCTATACAAATAAACTGAATTAAATTGTGTTCATATTTAACTTCCTGTTTATATTTCACACCTGATTTCTGTTGCATTTGTGTTCTTTAATGTCATTGCTTCCTTGGCTTTAATGTTGTGGATATCCTGCATAGTTTCTTTAATTATTTTACTTGTTAAATGGTCTGTATCTACACTGGCTCCTTTTTAACATTCTACACCAGAAATAAAACTGAGATTGAAATGATAAATGGCATCACTAAAGTTAGTCTGACTGTGACCCAGGTCTATTCATGGTTGACCATAATTTTGTTATTTTAGTGAAAAGAATGAAGCTCTGTTTTATACTGAGACTCAGAGGAAACTAGTCAGCTGGTAAAAGGAAGTATTTGCCTTTTGGCTAAGTTCCCACCAATCTGGATCTTTGTAGAAGTTTTGTCTCATTTCATTATTTTCCTCTTCACCTGTGAACGCAAAGCTGAGAAGCTGAAATAGAGACATAAGTCGGAGAGAGCCATGTGGCCCCAGACCAACCCCTCAGCTATCCCCAACTCACACCAAGAAAAAACATAAAAGTTCAACAGCTTTAAAACCAGAAATGACCTTGTTGCATTGTGGGAGTTTTATGCATGTTCATGCTATGTTTTCATGGGTGCAGGTGACCATAAGAACTCACACATTTCTAACTTGTTTTTATTTACAAAGCTGGGTTGCTTTAGACAATTATTGACTTTTTACAACAATCACAGGAGGTTATGGTGAACTGGGAAAATAAATATCTGAATTAATTAGTTGGAACTGTCTGCAAAAACCTTTTCTGAACCAACTTATCTGATTCCGTTGCTATGATCATATGTCATTTGTTGAAGCTGATTCTGAAATATGTTAACCATTTCAATAAAATGTTTTGGCTGAGTGACAAATGCATATTAAAGTTTTCTCTTTGTTTGGGGAAAATAGTTCAGCAACCCAAAATGTTTCACAAAGAAACGACAAAAATGAAAAATATTTGTCTTGTTTAAATTAATTAAAGGTGTGGTTTACTCGTTTATTCAACACATTTGTAGTGTTCTCTAGTAAATGCATGCCTTATAAGTTATTAAAAAAGCTATGATGCTCATTTACTGAGATGCATAAGTTTACTGATGCAGACGTGGGCTGAAAACAGCAGGATTACTCATTATTATCAATGATATGCACACATCTCGCTTCTGATTGTCTAACAGAGCACGTTCAGCCATGTTGCAAAGTCACTATCACAAAAACACTTTTGCTCTCTCTCCTTGCTTCAAATGAAAGAAAAAAAGTCTTCTTGTGGGTGGGCACGAACCAAGATGGGCGGGGCCATGAATGCAAATTCACAGTGTGACATAGATGTGTGAGGATTTTCAAATTCTAGCATTTCACCATCTATTTTTTATAAGAAGCTGACGCAGGAGAAAGGTGTAGGAGACTATTTTCATGTTCAGCTTGGATGAAAAACTCTGAGTGACTGATTATAATCAGAAATAATCGTTAAAAATTGCTTTTCAGTGTTCCACACTTTTAAGTTTATTTATTTACTTTTTAGGTATAATAACAGTCAGTGGTGTCTTTCCTAACATCCACACCCTGTTAACGATGTATTATATTATTTAAAAATAAATTAACTATAAGATAATTAGTAATTTATCAAAGACATTTGGTTTGTTTTATATACTAAAATAAAAAACTATATTTAAATTTAAAAAAACTTTTCTTCTACAATTATTTTAGTTTATTTCTTTATTTGTTTACCACTTCTGATAAATCACATAACATTGTTTTAAACCACCACACAAACTTTGCACTTTGAGAAATAAAAGTCCATCAACCTTCTGGAAACCTGGGTGCTGAATATGCTTTTACAATGACCATATATTTTTTCCAATCTTGTTTGTGGTGTCCATTGAATCTGGAAGCGTAGTCAAGGAGAAGAGCGGGTTCTGGTTTGGGAATCTCAGGGTCGCATAGCTGCTTTTTTGCAGATGATGCGGTTCCGTTTGGAATTTTAGTGACCTTCGGCGTTCACCAAGGAGGCTCGCCGCTGAGCCTCAGGCTATGGAAAAAAAAGAGAAACATTCCTTCCAGGTTGGAGAAGGAGTCATTTCCTAAACTGGAGGAATATTTTGATGTCTTGCTGAAATGAGCTTCCTCTGGGCTCTGCCTTGAAGATGGGATTCCCGGAGCTTGCTACAGAGCTGCTGCTCCTCCTCATCGAATGGAGTCAGAAGAGGTGGTTCAGGCACCTCATTTAAATACCTCCTCACTTCTTACCTCTGGATGTTTTTCTGGAAACATCCTCAGTGGGATCTCCCAGGAGGAGCTGAAGCTTTTGGGATGTCTGGCCTTCACCCTCTGAAGGAAACAGATATGTTATTTCTATCAGTTTAAACTTAAACCTGCACTTGAGATTAACACCAGACTCCCCAGGGACACTGGGAATAACAAATTAGGTGTCTTTTATTGGAAACTGTTCACCTTTTACACACTGACATTTAACACGACAAGCCTGTGTGATCCCTCCGGCTCAAGACAAGTCAGCGACAACTGGTGCTGAAGAACTGGAATGGCTTATGATGGTTCGAAATATCAAACACACACACACACACACACACACACACACACACACACACACACACACACACACACACACACACACACACACACACACACACACACAGATATACTGAGACAAAAGTACACATCACGACACGTAATAACCATTTAACACAGTCTAGCCACCTAATGTAGACATCAGAGAAAGATCTTAAAGTGCATACAGGAACAGAGGAGGGCTTCGCCAGCTCTCATTACCAGTAACAACCTTTTTTTTAAATAATGACTGACAACAATCCTCCACAAAAGCTTTACAAAAAGCACATCCCCACCATGTTTTCAGCTCAGACTCATCTTTGATTCATGATATAATTACACTGCATAGCTCACTGGGTTAGTCTTTTACATTATTGCGGTAGGTCTGAGCCGTGGGCTGCAGGGTGGCACCAAAAACATGTCCAGTCAGGATCTGAGGAATAAAGCATGAGGTGGCCCCACTGCTTCCAGTGGATAATCCATTGAAGGAGAGAGAATGTTGAAGTTTCAGGCATGGCATGAAGATGGTCAGTATCCCATATGCATAGAAGGGCGCTGAAGTGACTCCTTGGTCCGGTTGGGGTGCACCACATGGTTCTGTGCAGGAGGTGGAGAAGCTCCGCCCGGCTCAAACTGCTCAATAAGGAGCAAAGAGGACTTGTGGATGAGAGGTCCTGACTGGCCCTGGGGCCGGGCGTAGCAAAGCAGCAGGGAGGGTGTGAGTCTGGAAAAGGCTGGGGTTGGGTGGCGGGTTGGCGGCGTGGCTTGTACGGTGCGTGAACGAGTTCCCGATGGCGGCTGCAGCCACGGCCGCCAGGTGAGCAGGTAGGATCTGAGTGGCTAGAGGCTGACAGGGACGATCCTTCCTCAAAATCAGTTTTATCTAGAGGTGGAAGACAAAAACACTTGTTTTTGTTAGATAAAGGTAAACGATTATCTTACTTTCACATGAATTTCCTCGTGTTTTGATTTTTGGTTAATCTCAAATCGAAATTGACTTCACTGCAGCACTTACTCTACAACGTTTATCCAAGTCCCCTGTTCATTACCCTAATCCTAACCCTAATGAGCTTGAGTTTATTTAATCTAGAGAAGAAATCTTGTTTCTCCCTCACACTCACTCATTATCGTAACCTGTAACCCTGGACAGGTCCCAGTCATCACAGGAAAACAACCATTCACACACACACACACACACACACACACACACACACACACACACACACACACACACACACACACACACACACACACACACACACACACACACACACACACACACACACACACACACCTAGGGACAACCCAACATGCAAGTTTTTGGTCTGTGGAGAGAACCGGAGTCTCCAGAGAAAACCCACACATGCATGGAGAGAACAAGCTAACTCCATGAAGAACGACTGCAGCTGGGATTTGAACCTGCAACTTGCTTGCTGCGAGACAATAGTGCTGAAACTTTATTTCTAAAGTAAAAAGAAAACGATTTGTTTAGATTTAAATGATCTGGACCTTCAAAATAAAACTTCAACATCAAGAAGTTTTATCCTTCTAAGCTTTTATTTCATGCAAATATTTTACTTCCCCTATAAATAACTTGGATTAGCAGAACCTTTTACACAAATAAATATATATTTCTGGAGCATTAAGGTGTTGAAAATTAAAAATAAAAATACCTTTTCTCAAAAATATACTAAAAACAGGTTTAATTTGATCAGAAAAAAATATGTATTTTTGGAGGATATTTCAAGTTTTTACTCAGCGTGTTAACACCTCCACCCTGAAATAATCATTTATCAAAGCCTTGTGTGCCTAATCTTGTTTCACAAAACTAAACCAAACATAATGCTGAATCAGAAACAAGACAAATTGTTTTATTACAAGAAATAAGATTTAAAAATGATCTGCGCTTATTTTTCTTCACCTGCAGACGGGTCAGAGAACGAGTCTGTTTAAATCTGCAGTAATTGGGCGAGAGATGCTCCTTGTTTCCAGAGGCAGTTTCCTAAAGCTCAGTGAGGATTTTACAATCAAAAGAAACATTTCTGATTTTATTTCTGATTAAATAACGCAAATCATCTTGAGTAGAAGCATTTCTGTGCAGCAGAGGGAACTTTGTCTTTATAAACATTGGGTATTTTTGTCCAAAGAAAAAGCAAACACCGAAAAGTAAAATGACAAAAGTCTCCGGGTGAAAATGTCACCAGTTCTATCTGGTGTAATCTTGTGTATCAGTGATGAAAAAGCTATGTTCTCGCTGCCAAGCAGCAGTCGTCACGGGTTATCAATAACCGAGTCGGGCGTCAGACACCCATGGGGAGCATTCTTTACTCTGCGCCCATCAGAGACGCTCCTCTCCGTTAACTCAGTCAATGATGGGTTTCAGGATGAAAACCATTTCCCCCACACTGGTAACCCTCCTGCCTGCTCCCTACTAATGTAGTGAATCTTTCCCTTTCACCAGAAGACTTACGCTAAAACCACACAGCGGTCATTTATCATACGTGGCGATCAAAAATCTTTTAAGCGATTGTTTTCAGCTCACCTGGAGCCCAGAAAGTCCAACAATAACCCCAGGTAAATAAAAAAATCAAATGTTCTCTCTGATTCCAAGGTGTAGCAGCCTGTCTGACCCTGAAGTGAACCACTTTGATGCCTGAGACCAAACCGCTCCAAATAAGTTAAAGCTGACATTTACAATCACTTCTAAACAGTAATCGACCCAAGTCTGCATTCCTGCTGCAGCTCCTGGATCAGACGGGCTTTTTGTTGTCAATAAAACATCACATTTTTCTTCTGTTCCCTTCTGCTGCTGATGTTTAATAACCCTAACCTCTAAAGGCTCTCAGGTGACTGAATCAGTCTCTGGACTTCCTCTGAAGAGCTGAGACGTCAGGGATAAAACAGTCAAAGATAAACGGGGATGTTTTTGTCGACATGTGAAAGGTCAGAGGTCAGCGGTGACTCACCGGCAGCTTGGTCTGGCCCTTCTGTGGCTTGCTGTAGGGGCTGTATTTGGGTTTGGCTGGTTTCCCTGCTGCTCGGTCTTTGTGACGCCGACTGCTGATGTGCTGTAAGAAATTTTAGAAACAAATAAATAATCAGATGAAGACGGTTTCAAGAACATGGTTAATTAATCCAACTTTTAAATAAAGATGGTAAAAAGAAGCTATATATATATATTCAACAAAAATATAAACGCAACACCTTTGTTTCTGCTCCAATTTTTCATGAGATGGACTTAAAGATCTAAAATTCATTCCGGATACACAATATTACCATTTCTCTCAAACATTGTTCACAAATCAGTCTAAATGTGTGATAGTGAGCACCTGTGCTTTGCTGAGATAACCCATCCCACATCACAGGTGTGCCACATCAAGATGTTGATCTGACATCATGAGTAGTGCACAGGTGTACCTTATACTGCCCACAATAAAAGGCCACAGTGGAATGTGCAGATTTTTGCTTTATTGGGGGTCTGGGGACTCAGAACTGGTCAGTATCTGGTGTGACCACCATTTGCCTCATGTAGTGCAACACATCTTCTTCGCATAGAGTTTATCAGATTGTCAATTGTGGCCTGTAGAATGTTGGTCCACTCCTCTTCAATGGCTGTGCGAAGTTGTTGGATATTAGTGGGAACTGGTACACGCTCAACGGGTGACATGTCCAGTGAGTATGCTGGCCATGCAAGAACTGGGACATTTTCAGCTTCCAAGGATTCCACATGGCAGCACAAAGAATGCTAAAGGTGAGTTTTGCTATTATGCCCCCCTTTAAAAATATGAAGACATTTGCATAATCCTGTACAAAAGACATTGAAACCGTGCAATTTTTTTACAATATTATAATAAATACTTTTAAATAATATTAATGCAGTCTTATTGTGCCAAATCAATAATTGATTAAAAAATGTAATTGTTTACAGCTTTAAATTTAAAAGGTAAAATAGAAAATAAATAATAATTAGCCACCCATAAAGTTTGATCTGAGACACCAATAATTTCTGAATCGTGATCAAAGCACAACAGATATACATTTGGAGTTATGATTTCTAAATGTTAACTTTTTTTGACAAATTGAGATAAATGTTAATTTATTATTTTCTGTTTTCTGAAAAACAATGGCAAAATGATTATTTATTTATTTATTTATTTATTTATTTATTAAATGTGTGGTTGACTGAAAAAACACTATTCCTGATGATAATCAGTCACTCAGAAATTTTCATGCAAGCGGAACATGAAAATAGTCTCCTACACCTATCTCCTGTGTTAGCTTCTGACAGAAAATAGACAATGAAATGGTAGGATATGAAAATCCTCACATATTTATGTCACTGTGAATTTGCATTGATGACCCCGCCCATTCTGGCACGTGACCAGCCACAGGAAAACAACACTACAACTGTATTAAATAAATGATTAAACCACACCTTTAATTACAAATGGTAATGAGGGAACAATCAGTTTTATTTTCTTATTACCAAATAAAAATCTGTCGATTGGCAAATAAATAGACATTTTTCAAACTATTCCAGAAATTAGATTTTTGTGGCTTTTGTATTGCATTGATCCTTCTGGGCCACCGTGCAAATGTGACTTTTTTATTTTTTATTATATACTACTGGATGTTCAAAAATATTGCTCGTCTGTTATGTCTATGAGGTCGAGCAAATAAAAAATAACTAGAGGGAAATTAAATTCCACACATAAATTCACATTTTAATGAGACTTTGGAGAATTTTTTCTAAATAAATTTGAAAATCTTTCCATTCAAACCTTCATCAAAGAGCCTGAAAGAATCAACTAAAGAACGCAGATGCTTTAATTGCTCATTTTTTAAATTTTGAGTAAAGATAAGAGCAAAACAAGCTGAATCAGAGATGCCAATACCCAGAATTCCACATCCCATCTCACGGTGAGCTCTGATTCAGGGTAATATGTTCAACCAGAGCCACCCACGGCGAGAATGACTGCAGGGAGGTTTCGCTAAATGACACATTTTGTTCTCAAGTTAAACACAGTTGAGAATGTGGCTTCCCTCATGCAGAAAGACAAGAAACAGCTGGTGGAGCCGAAAAAACCCCCCGATCTGGATTGTCATTCCCAAAGCTGGTAGATAATTCTGTGTTTCTGTGTGTGCGCGTGTGTGTGTGTGTGCACAACATGATGCTGATTTCTGGTCGAGTCTTAAATTTTCCACTCAGGGGATTTGACGATCACACGTTTCTCCGGCTTTCCAGCTGAGAGTTACATTTCTCATGCTGGATTCTGAGTTTTCCTTTTTTTTTTTTTTTTTGTTCATTTTGTTTGTTTGTTTTTTCTGTATTTTCTTTTTTCTTTTTTAGGGAGAAACTTGAAGGTCAGTTGAGAGGAAACAGACTGCTTTTCAGGTATCATGGAGGACATTCCTCACATGATGGAATCGTCAGCAGTTAGAGGACACGATGATTTATCTGCTGCCAACAGCAGCGGCTAGCTAACATGTATGTGCAGGGGAGTGTCTGTTCCTTAACTCAAAGTCTCTAAAAAGATGTTTCATTTATTGTTATCCTCTATGTGGTAATATTAGGAATCCAGGAGCATCTTAATCTACTCTTTAGTGCCACACAGTTCAGAGTAGGTATTGCCTCTACGGCAGCCTACATGCATCAAAAAGGCTAAATGTTATCAACAACTCCCACCTTTCAATCCGTTTAGGTCCAATCTTTTCATTTGTATTCTTTTCTAAATGGAGGGAGCAGAATTTTACTAAACCTGCAAGGCTGCCATAGAGAGAACTGGCACCACCCCTATATCATGTATGTCCCTTAACAGCTACCATATTTCAAGATGGCGCATGACTATCAGAGGATTGACCACAGTTTATGTATATAAAAATGTAACATCTCAAGCTAATATGAACACTTAGAATAGACGCTGGTGAGATATATTAATGAAAAAGGGCAAATTCACTAAATGAAAAATATTACAGACTGAATCAGAGGACATTAAACCCAGAAACAGAGGTAGTGATAAAAGGAGAAGTTTTGGCTTGCTTTTAGCACCCCCAGGTGGCCTTTTGTAAAACCGAAAGCTAAATCTACATTCTCACTGTGCATGCGTCTTTTTAGCACCTTAATCTAACAGCTGAAATGCCCCCAGCCTTCCTTAGTGTCTAGAGGGGTGATTTGTCACTAAATTAAACTAATCAGCTCTGTTCATGATCTAAAACATGGAGGACATTAGAAGAGATTTGTTGTCATGTTAAAAAAAAATTTGTTTCTGAATTGTGAAAAATATAGCAACAAAGTATGGACATTTTTTCTACGAGATGCTGATTTTTGTGGAAAAATAATTAAAAAACAAACATAAATAGATGTAAAAACTATTACTGGTGCTTTTACTGTCATTCTGTTGTGGAACATATTCAATGAAAACACTGAAAAACTGCTTAAATCTGCATGTTTTTATTATTGTGGGCCTATCTATATTATTAAAATGATCAGAGCCACTACAGAAGGCCCAAAGAGCCTGAGTTATGTTGTGGTAACTTGAGAGGAACTGTGAAATAGTAACACTTTTGCTGTATGCTTGTTCATGTTGAATTAAAATAAAATATATAGGACATTTGTGATGATAACAAGAATGGTAAATGGTAAATGGCCTGTATTTGATATATCGCCTTCTAGAGTCCTGGAACCCCTCAAGGCGCTTTACAACACAACCAGTCATTCACCCATTCACACACACATTCACACACTGGTGGGGATGAGCTACGATGTAGCCACAGCTGCCCTGGGGCGCACTGACAGAGGCGAGGCTGCCGAGCACTGGCGCCACCGGTCCCTCCGACCACAACCAGCTGGGAACGAGAGTTAAGTGTCTTGCCCAAGGACACAACGACAGCGACAGACTGAGCTTGAACCTGCAACCTTCCGATGACGGGGCGAGCACTTAACTCCTGTGCCACCGTTGCCTGATATGTATATGTAACACTGATGTTAGGGCTAAAAGGCAGAATATACGTTTTGTTTGTTTTTTTCTCATTACATCGGAACTTCACGTTGTCCCACATCGAGTAGTCTCTGTCCTACATTTGGCAAGTTGGGATCTGGTCACCCTAGCCACAAGGCGTCGTAGGGGCTGGGTGGCCTTTCATTACCCCTGTAAAGAACAGGTGTCAAACTTGGCCAAATTTGGCCCACAGTCTATTTTTATTTGGCCCGAGAGATCAAATATCAAATATACATTAAAACTGTCCCATCGGCCCATTTTGCCACAAAGACTACAAATCCGATAGTGCTTTGCGGCTTTAGTGTGTCAGTTGATGCTCCCCCTCTTTTCTGTTTACAGTTATTAGATCTGAAATCTCATACTGGCTCAAGAAAATTATGTACAGCTGTTAAACAGTTGCACAGTATCCCTTTAATCCATGTTATTTATCTGATAATCTCTTTCTTGAAATCAAATTTCATCAAAATTCCATATTCGTATTCCTAATTTATTCATTTAATCAAATGTTATGGGCTGACTGCAGGGTGCCTGTGTTAGAGTCGCAGTCATCAGAAGCATCATTTGCATGAAGTGTGTGGTCGTGTTCTGGTTTATATTTCCTTCCATGTTCACCTCCTGCTGATGTAACGGCACACAGAGGGAGGTCCAACAGCCCTCCAAAAGCTCCATGAGCTCTTCTTTTTTTTTTTTCCTGACATGTTATGCAAGTGTGAATAATTTATGATGGTTGAATTCCATTTCAAAACGCGCCGGATCATTTCTGGGCCTCATGCAATGAATTTTGAAGTGACGGATACACAAGTGGTATCAGTCTTCTAAACAAGAATATTCTCCAAACCAATCATTTCAAAGCTAATGACTGAAAAATATGTTTTCTACAATTTTCAGTAAGAAGTATGCTTATTTGTTTTATTTACTTGGGCACGCAGAGAACCAGACAGATTTCTATTTTTCTTAAACCTTTTTTATGAGTTTACAAATCGAGAATCTATCTTGTTTTTCAGCCTCACCTGTTTTAGCTGTGTCTCTGAATTGACGTGCACGTCGCACGTCTCACAGTAAAAGGTTTTGTTCTGCAGGCCTGTTGATGATTTGGAGGTTGAGGCCAATTTGCCTTTGACTCCCGGACGAGGAAAAGACTTGATGGCGCCCACGCCACTCCGAGCCTCCAGCATCGTCTTGTGCTTGGTGCCTGCGGGTCAGAGCGAGAAACGAAACCCGTCAAGACATGATTGTCACCCTGGAGATGCAGCCGGCAGGAAAACGGTGAAATACGAGGTTGCGTTAAAGGGTCAGCTTGTAAATTATCCTGAAACATCTCTGATCAAAGACTGCTGTAAGGATGGGTAATCCCACTGTTTGAGTCATGTTTGAAACACCAGAGACAAAAACATAACTTGCACAGTAACTTTGCTGAAGGAAAAGAACATCTTAAGGCTCTAAACACACTTAATTTTTTTGTCAATAATCCAAAAACAGAAATCTGCAACCTTCAGCTCTGCAGCCACGTGTGACCATTAAGCTGTTGTTTGTTTTGTAGTTTCTGTCCATCTGTTAGTAAGAATGTCCCATAAACCACTCAGTTGAGTAGCTATCACATGCTCTTCAGACCATCTTCACTCGTTCTTTTCAATACATTTGAAGTGGTCTCTAGTATAAATGAATGCATGGGCGTAACTTTGGGGTGGCGAGGGGTGGTGGGTGGGGGCATGCCCCCCCCCAGATTTTCCAAAGTAAATTTTTGTCCTCTGCACTTTATACCATCCAGAAACAATATTACGCTATATTAAATAAACACTGGATGAGCATTAGGACCAGGAGTTCAGCTAGAATCTGATGTAAATGAGCTCTATTGATCAGATAACGGTTCATTTCTCATAGTCAAGGTGTTCTCTGCTGATGCGAGTCAAAACGGGTGAGTATATATATATATATATATATATACATGCCCTGATGTGGAGGCTGGGGGGTGTGTCGACATAGTCGGGACATAGAAGGGGGTGCACGGCTAAATAAGTTTGGGAACCACTGGTGTAGAAGACTCTTTGTGTTTACATGAAAAACTCAGAGTGGCCGATCATTTTCAGAAATAAGAAATTAAATAATTGTTTCTTAGTGAAGGGCCTCTTTATCATCATCAACAGAGAATAGCAAGCTGTCTAGCTCTAGCTGCTGCTGGACTATTGCAATGATCTTTTGACTGGTCTTCCAAAAACTGCAGCTTTTTCAGAATGCTGCAGCTAGAGTCTTAACAAGGACCAAGAGAACCAAGCACTTCACTCCTGTTCTTCAATCTCTACACTGGTTAGCAGTAAACTACAGAATCAATTTCTAAGTGCTTCTTCCAGTTTATAAACCACTCAATAGCATGGGGCCAGAATCCATGTAAGATATCCTTCTGGTATATACACCCAGCAGGGTTCTGAGGTCCTTAGGAAGCAGTCAGCTGGTAGAACCCCGTGTCAGAACCAAACAGGGTGAAGCTGCTTTTAGCTAATGTGCTACACACAGTTTGAATCAACTTTCTTATGATCTCAAATATGCCCCCACTCTCATAACTTTTAAATCAAAATTGAAAACCTTCATTTTTTCATCTGCCTTTGAATGATTGTTCTCATGCTGCACATGCTGCACTGTAACTGCTCACCCTTGACTTTACTTTGCTTGGATCAGCACCGACAGGTCTGCTGCTGCAGAAGGTGGCAGAACCCAATATGATTTGGAGTTTGCTGAAATGTGGACATCTTGCCTCAGAGTGGATAACAGCAATGCAACTCTATCGTTGACTTGCAACATCAGTGTTTTATCTCCACAAATAATGCTGGCCTGGAGGAATTTTCCTGTGTGGTGGTGTTGCTAATGCCATCGGTTAACTTCTGCGTTAATCATTATCATTAAAAATTTATTTTTCAGAGTTCCATACTTTTAACATGGACAAAGCCAGCTAAATCTGAACATGTAAAATGAACCACTGGCCTGTACTGGTCTATAAAACCCTCAGCTAGGTTGTGCAATGTTCAGATGTCGCACAAGACAGCTTCATGTCAGAGGTGGCACACTACATGGCCAAAGATTTCAGTTAAACTGCACAACCTCTCTCTATGAGGACTAACCAACGTCACGAGCATAAGACATTGAACGACAACAGGTACCCAATAGATCTACAATGAAAAGAAAAAAATACTTCTTTTGTTAGACTCCGAACCAAAGTCCAAAATTAGTGGTCCACATGTTCTTCCATGTAGCCTCCATCATTGCTAATGCTACTCTTTCATTGGTATTTTGTCACTAGTTTTTGTGTCTTTCTCTGACCCTGGGTGTATTTTTACTGGTCGATTGTAGATTGGATTCATAGATTTTCTGACACTGCTCGAAGACGGAAGGCTGAATTCGGTGATAAGCGTGTTCAATAAGTGATCACTGGGCCCATCATGCTGGATGGCTACAGACCTGCAGATAGTGTTGACCATTTTTTGTCACGATTCTTTTCAACTAGAGATTTGTTTAGGATGGCCGAAAAATGCCCAGTGTGACCCAGGATCAAAATCTACCTCATAGTGGACTGAGTATTATCCCGCTCATCTATGACCTATTGGAGTGAGACTGGATCATGATGCTGCTACACTACAAGTACTCACTATGAAAGCACTTTGCCTTTTTATTTAATTTCTTACATACAATTTTATTTGTAAATTTTAAATTTGATCTTAAAATCTGCTGTTTGATGTTGTCAATGTTGACCTCGACGATGGAGCCACACAGGTGTGCATTACCTCCACGTCTTTGGAATTGTTGTTACCATGGTAACAAACCATTGTAATCTTGCTACAGAAGTTTTGTTCATCCTCAAAAAACAATCACCAACCTATCACACTCAATCACCCGCCATGGGGAGCTTGCAGCTTTCCCTATTCTTACTTAAAGACCTCTCCAAACGTCTGCAAAGACCACCCAGGTTCTGGTTTTGGGTGAAGGGGACCTAAATGAGCCACTTACAGCCCTGACAGCTACCATCATTACAAACTGGTCGTTCACAGGAGAAGACGTTTTCTCAGAAACTGGCACAATCAGGAGGCCTAAACCATGGAACAAAAAGCTCCGACTCACTCTGTTTGGGAAGAAATTCTTACAATAGCAACAAAAATACTGCTGTGACAAAAATGGGCTGCAAAAAAGTCCAGATGGTCGATTGTGAAAGGGCTGAATTGTCTTTTGTGATCAGTTACTGCTTAATGCAGAAGCTAGTGTGACTAACAGTTTGCTGCTTTTTCAGTTTGCAAGTCAGTTGTGGTGAGAATCCTGCAGATAAATCATCTCAAAGTACTTCTGTCAAACTTTTATATCCAAAATTAGATTCAGAAAAAGCATGGCCGCTTCTGAAAGGGATGGTGAAACATGTACTGTTTGAGACCTTGATTAAAAACTGCAACAAAATGGTCTGAAAAGATACTTTTGGTTTTTTTAGGCCTAAAACTGGTTGCTAAAAGCATCTACCAGTTATTTATGTGCAGTAAGCAATGCTAATAACTAGTCAGATCACCAAATTATGTATTTATTAATTATTATTTAAAATAAACGTTGATTTTAAAAGGTCATGCTGATATGTTAGAATGCCATATTACCTGCTCTTAATCCTTTACTGTTTAGCATGACATGAGACCACTTTAAAGCAACGGTGTGTATTTTCTCTGGTGATGGGGGCAGCACACACCTAAATCATTGCAAGCAAGCGGTATTTTTCCGTTCGAGTAAGACTTTACCAACGGATGGCCATTAGGGTCAAAAATCCCTGCTGGGAGTGTAAATTTCGAAGGAGTACTTGGTCAGATCGTTCGACCTCCAGCAAAATGACAAGCACATCAGACCTTTTTTCATCACTGGCAACGAGTGAAGAGGTAAGTATGTAAATCAACAATGTTTATGAATGGTGAAAGTTTTGTAACCTCTTGTTACAAATCAGTAATGTATTTTGTCCTCATGAGCTCATGTAGAAGGAAACATCCTGTCTGATATGGCGTCGCCCAGACTTAGACCCACTCACATGCATTTTAGACCTGATTTCTATGGTTATATGTTACGAAGTCGTCAATATTTTTTAACAACTGGGCATCATTTAAATAATTTTCAACAACATTTCGATGGATATTTCCAGAGGTTAATGGTAAAAGACTTTGTCACATCAGTTTCAAAACATCTAAAAATGGAGCAAGCAAAGTCCTAATATTTTTTTAATTTCTTTTAGATTTTTCTTCAGTTTTCATACATTCAGAGAAACGTGTTGAATACAACACCATGTCTGATGAAATCGTTATGTGCAACAGTTCATGACAGCTGTATTTCCGCCTTCATTGTGAGATATTGGAGGTGTGGTGTGAGAGTGTGTGAAGAGGTTCAGATGTGTGTGTCTCACGCTCAGTGCGTGAGAGTTGCCAGCCCTGATTTCAGTGATCCCCCTTGCAGGTAGGACCCTTACTGTGGATCGCAGGCATCAAACTCCAGTTTTCTTTCTTACTTTCCCGCAACTCACCATACGCAGGTGTCGGTCAGGCTGCAATCACAAGACTTCAAACAGTTCAAAATTCTGCTTCAAGACCGCTGACTGGAACCATGAAGACAGACCTTATCACTCCCATTTTGGCCATTCTTCATTGGCCCCCTGTTAATTACAGATTTAGCTTGAAAATCCTGTTACATGTTTTTAAAACGCTGAACGGTATGGCACCTCAGTACCTGGCTAATCTGATTCATCCCTCTCATCCTTGATGGAGCAGGCCCTGTGGACAGGGGAGTCATGCTTTCTCTGTTTTAGCACCAAGACTTTAAAATGATCTGACTTTTAATCTCAGACAAGCGCCATCGCTCCTTGTTTTTAAGTCTAGATTGACAACTCAATTATATGCTCTTGCTTGCATTCAGTCAGTAAGCTGACCACTAGTTTGGGTTTGTGAAGGGCATCGGTTTTACCCATCTGGCTGTTTGTGTAGTTCCTTTAAATATCAATACTGTATGTTCTATATTCTTAGTGTGATCAGAGCTTTGTTCGACCGTGTAAAAGTGATTCCTAAATTAAGCTTGGTGTATTTGATGTAGGACAGTGGCCCTGATGACAACTGGACTTTTAAAAAGACCAAAATTTCTCTTTAATTGTTAAACCAAACCCAGCAAACAAAACAAAACCTTGTCCTTTTTCGTACCACTGTTGTGAGCTTCCAGCTGAGACGCCGAGTTGACCGCCACTTTGCAGAGCGAGCAGTACAGAAGGCGCCGAGCTTTCTCCTCCTCCGTCTCCGCGTCTGTCTCAGTCTCAGGTTCGACCTCCTGGTCCGGGTCCGTGTCTGAGGATGAGCTGAGCTTTGACGGCATCTCATCTCCTCCGGAGGCTGCGTCCGACTCCGAGGTCGCTGCGGCACATGGAGCTCTCAGAGGACACAAAGGTCCGGGTGATGATGCAGCCGGGGTGACGATGGGATTAATCGGGCCAGGCACAGAAGCTACAGCTGCTCCTGAGGGAAAATGAGCAAAATTGCACTTTTAGTCCCATTGCTCTATCCATCATTTAGGGACAATTATGTTTTAGTCTTTGTTGCATTTATTTTCTGTGTTTTAAAGTCATTTACTGCTGATTTAAGCTGCCCCTCAGGAATAGTGGTACAATTATCCAAAACAACAAACTAAGAAGTAAAACAGGGACTAACCATCTTTTTATTTAGCACAAAATTTAATCAAGAGAAGCCGAAACGCTGATTCAACCACTCAGTCAAGCAGGAAGCTGTGAAACCAGACCCAACAGAAGAGAGCTGACTATTAAGTAACAATTTCCACTTTATTTTTTATCTATAAATAACACAAAAAACCCTCCAACAATGTCAAATTATCGCAGAATAAGTAATTTTTTCTATTAATATTCAACATCACATTAACATGAATGAAGAGCTTCTGCAGCCTGGAAGAAACGTCTGTATTTTTAGGAACAAAGACACCAGCAGATCAATATATTTGACTCATAAAACAACACCACATGTCAGCGTATTGAATACAGAAGGACTGCTGCCACATTTACGAAAATGAAATTTTGCCTCGCTGGTACAGTCCGATCGATGCTGATGCCTCTGATTTCTCTGTTCTCCAGCATCGAGGACTGAAGCTCCTCCAGTGAGGAGAGCTGATCAATACTGAATTATGTCGTGCTGTTTTTGTGGACCATATGGTCCTTAGTTATCTCCACGGAGGTGTCAGCTGTTGGCACCACATACCCCTTTAAGCCCAAACATTGTCCCGAGGATCATCGCTGTCAAAGGTTCAGAAATGAATCTGAAGAGAAATCTGCAGCACGTGTGTGTCTGCAGATCTGAGTTACAGACAAACATCCAGCTGTCAAAAACGTAGCTAAAGATGTAAATATATACTTAGTGTTATTTCCTTCCTGCGCTTCAGTGTTTGTGAGCGACCGATCCATTAACCTCCTGAAATGGCTTTGAGGCACATCTTCACTCATAAAGCTCTGCTTTTACACCTGACTGACTTCAGCTATACAATTTGCAGCTGGATCATAAAAACCTGCTGCATGTTTAGAATGCAGATTGTTTCTGAAATGATCAGGCAGGAGATGAATAAACCAAAAATGAACAGTTTCACTGAAATGCAGTCGTGTTTAACCTGTGAGGATGAAAACGTACAACAAATTCAGCAATAATTATGTATCTGGTGGAATTAAGTTTTTCCCGTGATGTACGTAGAGGCGCAGCATGCCGAAAGGCAGGGTGGGCAATTTTATGAGGGCCCCAGGCCACAAGGGGCCCCCAGAGGGCTGACAATCTTTGAATCAGACTGTGAAAAACTGTCATTTGACAACACCCACTGTCATCTTGTGGTCCCTGACAGAGATCAGCCACACTTCAATCAATCAATCAATCAAACAAAGCTTTATTTATAAAGCGCCTTCCGCAACCCTGTCAGGAAGCCCAAAGCGCTGAACATGGTACAGTTGTAAGTAATTATACTGAATAAATCAACAATAAAAGAAATTCAAATTACAAAATACAAATTACAAAATACAAAATGGAAATAACAAGATAGAAGAAACATTCCGGTAAAATACAAATGTGTGAAACACATTTGGATTGAGTGGATGGATTGAGTGTACCAATGAAAACTGTGGAATGGATTCAACATAAAAGAGGGCCATAATCAAACATGTTCTGGAAACGCCAAGCTGAGGAGGTGTGTTTTTAGGTGATTCTTAAAGACTGGCAGAGAAGGGGACAGCCTAACTGAGGGTGGCAACTGGTTCCAGAGTAACGGTGCTAGGACTGAGAAAGCCCGGTCCCCACGGGTACGACACCTAGACCGAGGGACAGCGAGCAGGCCTTGGTCAGAGGAGCGCAGAGCGTGTGATGGGGAATGTCTGTTCAGGAGTGTGGCCAGATAGGGGGGAGCACCACCCTGGAAGAAATGATAAACAAAGACGAGTATTTTGAATTGTGAGCGATAGGAAATCGGAAGCCAGTGCAGGGAGGCCAGGACTGGACTGATGTGGTCCCGTTTCCTGGTCCCAGTCAGGAACCTGGCAGCGCTGTTCTGCACAACCTGTAGGCGACGCACTGTTGACTGACACAACCCTGCGTAGAGAGAGTTGCAGTAGTCAAGCCGAGAAATTACAAAGGCATGCAGTACCCGCTCCAGGTGGGCTCTCGACAGCATATGCTTGATTTTAGCAAGGCGTCTCAGGTGAAAGAAACTGGACTGGATCACAGAATTGATGTGAGCATCAAATTTAAGTCCTACATCAAGTTTCACCCCCAAACTGGTCGTCCACTTCCTCGTCTGACACCTCTCTTTGCTCGGACGGAGAAACAGCAGGACGCCTGACAGAAGATATCTTTGCTTGGGGCCCCACGAGAACCTCGGAGCACCATTTGACATCAGAATGATGTTTTTATGATATAGAAAATGGAGCAGAAGAATAAACTGATCTGGGTTTGAAGAAAAAATGTCAGATCAGTTCTTCGGTGTTGAAACAAAAGGAATATTTTAAACATATTTAACATTGAACCTTATACGAGTCGTAAGTCCCTGTAAGAAGAAACTGTAGCTAAAATCAAGTTTAGCAGCAGACCTTCTCCTCTCTTGCTCTTTGACTTTTGTGTATATTTTCTGTTTTGTTTGGTTTTTACGGCATTAACAACGTGTTTCTGACCAGATCTGTCCGTGTCCTGACCTTAAACAAGGGCGCTGTTTGATTGCTGTTGTCGCCCGATGATTGAGTGCTGCTGAAGCGTGTGCAGCACCAGTGGTCGTTGACCTCTTAGCCTCTGTCTGTTTCAGTCCATGCTGCAGATGTCTGTTGATGGATTTATTCTTGGCTGCTACTTTCAACACCTCAGAAGGAACTTTTGAAAGTTTCTCTCCTGAAGTGATTACGTTTTAAATCATAGGATGGCATTTTTCCAAGGGCTTCATGTTGTGCTGAACATTTATTTTGGGATGTAATTTCATTCATTTCCATTATTAGTTTATTTATTACATTACAGGAGCACCAGCTAACTCAGGCCTATTTGTCTGTCCTGTTTTCCCACATATTTAGTTAAAACACACATGTTTCCTGTCTGAATTTCATTCACAACACTGAATTTTCCTACATAATTATCAACTTTTAAATAATATCTTGCCAACACATGTACATTTTATCTAAGAATAAATGCTAATTAAATGACAAATAATCAAGTTTACTTGTAAAACTGGAAAAACACCTTAAGTGAGGTTGTAATATAATTTTTTTATTAAAATTATTATTAATAGAGAACACAAAGTGTCTGGGTTTGCACTCATCATTTTATTTACTCATAGTATTTGAATTTTTTGTGCTATTACATATATATCCTTTTAAAGTGTCATCTGCATCAAATAGGATCAGCCTTTCTTTGAACCGAGTTTTTGTCTTAAACATGAAACACGACAGCTCAAAGGAGCTTCTTTTATTTTGACAAAAACTGCAGAAAACACCAAAGTTTGAGTTTTAAACTTGTTTCTTGGTATTTTCATTCCAATCAGCTGATTTTCTATTAATGGTTTAAAGTGATTATTATCAACAATCCTTCAGGTTTCCCGAAGGTCTTTTAAAGTTTTTCGTTGGACTTCAGCTACACTCACCATCTGCCCTTGGATTTTACCATGTTGTGCAATCTGTGCTTGGAAGAAAGAGGAAGGTGAGCAACTGAAGACTCTACTGTGGATAAAAACAGTTTAAAAAGTCACGTTTTGTGAGAAAAAATCAAGAGAAGATTAAAGTCACAGGACTTCTCCCTTTAACTTACAGGTCAACTGTTATTTTAGTCCTTATATGTTTTTCAAAGATGCAGTAAAATTTCATGAAGAAAAAAATTTAAGTACAAAATAAGAACAACAAAGATATTTGAATAAAAAGTTATAAATTATTATTTAGCATCATTATTACCTCTAAATAAATTTTTAGCATTGAGCCCAGTCAGCTATTGACCCTTTGCACGTGACGTCACGCCACTCCTGTGACCGCCCCTTCGCCATGATGGATGGCAAAAAGACCGTTTACACCCATTGAAACTCCAGTGAAGCTAGTCAAAACAAGCCAGTTTGTAGCCTTTTATTGCTTTTATTTAGTTGATTAGACAGTAAAATGGTTTTAGCTTGCTGCGTGGTTGGCTGCACTAACAGACAAGGACGTAAACTCAACTTGTTTTTTCTTTTTAATAACTTTGATGGAGACTGAGGATGGAGATGAACTGCAGCGATCAATCCAGCTGACTAGCAGCCCTCAGATTTGCAGCGAACATGTTTTTACCGGGTAAGATTAACATTCATTAATTTCACGAGGAAGACAGGGACAGGGATAAATGTGATGTGCTTATACTAGTTATTGATAATCCTGATGGATGGGTATTTCACCACAGAGGATGCGCACCGTCCACTGTAGTGTAAAGCAAAACAATTATTAACAATATTAAAGCTCCGATATATGATTACGTGTGTTAAAATTACGTTATTCATTTATATGAGCGTCGCCGTCAGAGATCTTCTCATTCCAGTGTGAGAGCAGCAGCTGTACCCGGTAACACCACCATCAACAAGTGATCCGGACTTTTTAAAAATCAGCTTTGGTGTAAAGTGAAATGCTGTTTATTACATAATTTTACAAATCCAGTCGGGTGAATTTAGGCAACGTCAGCAACATGTTTACATCTGTGAACAGCTGCAGAGAGAAGGTAAGCTAACGTTGGTAAGCTAGTTAACATACCGCTCTCTATGAGCCCCGGCTAGATGCGCTACTTCTTCCGATAACTGAACTGGGCATGAACTAGTTGAAGGAATGCTGGAGGAGTTTTGTTTTCGTTTTGATCGCAAAAACAATTTTAGGCTCTACTTTCCCCTTTGTTTAGTAATTGTGTCGCTCACTGTTTACATGCTTTTGCCGTCCACCATGGTGGACCCACGTGATTAGGTGACGTCGGTGCAAAGTGTCAATACAGTT